ACTTCCTCCAAACCCTACTAAAGGGTGAGATACCGGGTGTATGCAGTCCGCTTTGTACTTGAGCTTTGCCAAGCACTTGTTGCTGATGAGATCAGAGGAACTGCCGATATCTATGAGGATCCGGCCAACTCTTTGTTTGGCCACCTTACATTCAATGACAATGGGGTCATCATGCGACCCCCTAACACCTCCCAGATCCTCTTCTGTGATGACAATTTCTGGGAATGAACTATTGGCGATCCGTCCTTGGTGAACGGAATTAACATCTAACCGGCTGATGTTGTCTTTGTTTCCCCTGATAGTGGGCCCGCCTCCTGAGAAGCCGCCTGCTATAGTGTAGACGATGGGGTCGTCAGTATCTGAACTGTCGGCCTGTCGATGATTCTTCTTGGCCGATTCCTTTTGCTTGGGGGGAGCCTTCCCCTTGGACTTCCTGTCATAGGATTCAAGATCACCTTTTTCAGCCAGGTGGTCCAGGTAGCGCATGAGGCTAATACACTCATTGGTATCATGACCAATGTCTTCATGGAAATCACAGAATTTCTTTTGGTTCCGATTACTCGCAAAACCTTTCATGGGGGCCGGCTTCTCAATGGTCATCCGGCCTTGGATTTCTTTGAGGATAGCTTGGCTATCCTTATTGAACTCATACTTCGAGGAGTATGGTTTAAACTCTTTTTTCCTTTTCTGGGACGGCTGATCATAAGAATCAGCCGCCCAGACTTCTTTTCTATTCTTCTCATATTTATTGGCCGACTACTTTGGTCGGCTCTCTTTTTTATCGAACCTTCTTCCATCTGATTGCTTCCCAGTATTACACAGGTCTGTCGCCTGTATGTAGGCTTCCGCCTCAATTAATGCTTCTTGGAGAGTAGCGACTCTCTTTCTGACCAGGTCAAACTTGAAGGTAGACCCATCCTTTAGACCTTTGAAGAATTCAGTGTAGGCTACCTCATCCGGCAACCCTTCTATCCGGATTCTCATCAGGTTAAACCGCCTGATGTAGGAACGAAGTCCCTCATTTTCTCCCTGCTGTATAGTCCCTAGATCAAAGGTCGTCTTCTTTGCAGGAATATTTATGGCGAAGTTGGAGGTGAACAAATAGGCGAGGGTCTTGAAATTATTCACACAACCAGTTGGCAGGTTGCCGAACCACTGTTGTGCAATGCCCTTCAAAGTAGCTGGGAAGCACTTGCACCATGTGGGATCATCCAACCCTTGTAGGTACATAAGGTTGGTGAACGCCATCAGATGGTCCTCTGGGTTAGTAGTGCCATCATAGGCGCCTACTAAGACATTCTTCACTTTGGCCGGCTGGACGACCTCTATAATTTCCTTGGAGAAGGCGGACGACTCTTCTCCAAGTCTTAGCAACCGTCGTTGCCAGTCCAAAGGTTGGACGTTTCTTGCCGCCTGCCCTCCAAACAGAGGAGGCTGCAAGAAGTATTGTTGTTGCGGCACGTATGACTGGTGTGGCACATGCGGAGCCGATTGGTCTTTATGGGATCCGGACCGACGGGAGGTGCCGCCTATCTGACTCTCATAATTTGATTGGGAATACCTCATGGAGGTATTATGAAGACTGTCTTGAAAATCGGAAGTAGAGGCCGACTCTGACAGTCGGTCATTCTTCTTCTACTCTAGCAACAATCGAGCATCTGAGAACATTTTCTTTGACCCATCCGCTTGAACATGACAAATAGACTTCCTTTTTCCTGGAGAGGGAAAAAGATACTTTGTTAAGTCAATCACAGGCGGCTCCCACTTCCTAGATTTAGGGTGAGGATTCGCCTCCCGACCCTGTACAGGCTTCTTCCTCCCAGACTGAGAGGGTCTTCTAGCCGACTGCTCCTTGGATGGAGCAGGCGTCTTCTTGTTGATGAGAGCCTGGATCTCCCCTTTGAAGCTATTCATTAAGGTCATGAGTTCACCTCTAGTGATGGGGGGAAGATCCATCGGCCGCCTATTGATGATCAAACGGCTGACCGACTGGTTTACAAGAACCAGCCAGGCAATTCTGGCGCTCTTTCCTTTCGGCGGAACGAGTTCGTCGGGCTCTTAAGGTCCCGTCGGGGGCCGTGTGAGTCTCAACCTCAACCTCATCTTCAGTATCCTGGTCCGTCTGAACCAGGGGGTCGTCCATGGGACGCTTATCGCTTTGATTCGGTACAGACTGTGATTCCATCTCGAAAGTACTCTCCCCACAGACGGCGCCAAAATGTTTCGGGGTTTTTTGATGTCCTACGGGAGAGTTACAATTCCGGAACTGGTATCCTTGCGCCTGTACCTGCAAAACAACGGAAACTCCTTGTGGGGGGAGTTCCGCCTCCGACGATCAAGTTAGAACGTGTATGAGGAGTGAATAGTGCGGAAAAGTAAAGATTGGGAGATCTGGTTCCTCTAGGCGAGGAGTGATCTAAGTGTTTAGGTGAGTGTAATTAATGTTCTTCACCCCCTTTAATGAGGATTAATGAAGGTATTTATATGCCTTGGGATGCGTGCCAGTACTAGGTTTAGGTCAACCTAGGGCTGATTGGGCTTCCACAAGACTTTGGGCCTAGGTGGCCGGTTTTCCCATTTGGCATGGGGGAGGCCACGTGTCGTAGCATAAGAGGTCCAAGGTGGACTGATCAACACTTGACACGTGGCAAGCTCCAATTGGTCCATGTGGCGGACACTTGGCAGAGCCTGAATGGTCCACTTGTCAGGTGATGATTGGCAGGGAAAAATCCCCTAATCAAGTGTCAAAGGTTGTTTTGGGGAGTAATAAAAAAGTCATTTTATTTTAGTTTATTATTGGAAAACCAAGCAACAGTCATAATATTGATGACAATTTTTCCTAAGAAAATTGACAAGTTATAATAATTATTAAATAAAAAAGAACTATCATTCTCTTTCTCTTAATTTGCAAAATAAGCTCTCAACAGTAACTGACAATGCTCCATATTGCAATACCTTTGATATAATTGATTTAGAGTCCATCGTAATTTGAATTAGCTGTTAAAATACATGAGGTTGAGGTAATGGAGTAGTGACATCGCTCCCTACCTCACTCAAATCTTTGTGGTTTAAGGATCAAATCTAATGGGGCTCATGTAGAATACAATAAGAAACACCTCGGCTCAAGTAGTCTCCAAAACATTGAAAGACCCCACAATGAAAAGTTGAAATGACTAATAGGTGATCAAAGTTATCTTGGACTGTTGGCCACCATGGCTTAACCCAAAAAATGGTTGAGTTCAAGCTTGAGCTAGCGCAGCCCGATTATTTCAAATTTTTTTAGGATTTGGTGAGCCTAAGAATTACTTTTTAAATTAGCATTTCAGCTAACCTGAAAATAACCAAAAATGCCCACTATTTATGGCCCAAAATAGCAGGTTTGGGCACAAACTTTTTCGGCCCAAACTTGGGCTCATTATGGCCTGAAGCTTCAACCTGAATGGACCACATTTTTTAGTTTAAGTTCGGTCTGCCCTAGCCCATGATCAACTCTACAATGATCGAAACCACAATAGCAGCCACCTCTACAGATGGCTCATCTTCCCCCGTGAATTATTATCTTCTCTATCATTACAATTTCACCAATCAATAGCATTACAAATCCGCCCTCATCTCCATTCAAAGCACCATAACATCACCTAACCATTTATTTTACCTTCATTACACTAAACTTCTTTATTTTTATGCCAATTTACTTTTCTAATTTACTTATTAAACAATGTTATTGTCCTCTTTTTGCCTTGATACAACCTTTTTTTTTTTTTTTTTTTTTTTTTTGCTTCTCTTTAGACTTTTTAGGTTTTCATAGCAATTAAGGATAGTTTAGGAACTCAAATAGTATAGTTTAAAGTGCAAAAATTTAGCAATAAAGCCTTACACTAGGCATCTCATTCAAACTAAGAGAATCGAAAAAGACTTAAATGGTAGCACAATTGTCTAATCAACCACATCACTTAACAGTTAGGAAATCACCTTATAAGATCAATGGCAAATTAACAATCATGGGCAAAAAAATGCCCAAATGTCAATTTGGTGGGAAAATTAAGAAAATGGGTCACAAAACTCACAATAGTGGGCAAACCAAGATTTCCCCATAGGCAAAGGAGAAAATGCCCAAAGCATAAGGATATGGTCTGAAAAGGCCCCTACAGAGGGTTAGAAAACATAATTTTTTTTAGTTGTCTATAAACCAAAACGACTTATTTTCGGGTTGTTAAAGCATTTTCATTCTATAAAATGAGTCATTTTGCTTGCTTGCATAAATACAATACCATATCATTTGCTTGCTTGCAAAAAAAAAGATATATGCCAACAAGACACGTCATGTGGGCGAATGGGAAGATGCCGTATGTCCCTATCAACTAATCTAGAAAAAAAATCGCTTTATTTTTTTTTTTCCCTGACATTTTCAACCAAAAAAAAAAGAATCACCAACAATTACAAAATTTTGAGATATACAAATAGAGATCTATTTTGCTATGTTTTAATGATAATGATAAAATAGTATAAGTTCGAAAATCATGACAAGCTCGTCAAAAAAAAAAAAAAGGAAAAAAAAAAATCGTGACAAGTATCCATGAATCTGTGTAATCCATACTAATGACCACTAAGCTGGGTGGACCAGAAGTATTCAAATTGCCCTCAATTTATCAAATAAGCAGCATAGATACACTTAGACCCCCGTTTTTGTGTGTATTCATTAAAATGACCAGAGCTAGGTTGACCGCAGGTATTCAGCTTGCCCTCAATTCCTCAAATAAGCAACACATACACTTAACCCCTTTTTTTTTTTTTTTTTTTTTTTTTTAAAAAAAAAAAATTACCAGTTGGCCTCGACTGTACTTTGAGATTAAACGGCGGAGATTATCAGCCATAACACAAAAAAATTTAAACCCCAGTTCAGGATAATATATAGAGGACTTGCAGTACAATATTTAGATTAATGTTTCACACTTTTATACAATACATGTTTATTGCTGTGGAGGGTTTCATTTGAAGTATATCAATATAAAGACGTAGATATAGATATAAGCTAAACCTTGCATAAGCAGATTGTGAGACCTTGAACAAAAAACTTTTTTTGTAGAGCATTTTCATACACGGACAGCCAAAAACACGCCAACACACCTAGTACAAATTTAAGTAAATAAGAAAAAAAAACACTTTCTAAGCGCCTCAACATAAAATACCCAGATTAAAATCAATAAAGATTCCTCGACACCCAAATAGACAAAGACCAAACACCAACAGACTCTACTGAAAGACGACCCATTTGGTCCCAAGAATAGATGCTGACCAAAATAATTACTACCAAAATATTTGCGCCCAATAAAGCACAGCCAAGGAGCTTGAAATACTATGCAATGATTGATGTGGTGGTACCGATGAAAATTGGTATACACTAAAATCAAGCGCTGGAATCCTCACCCTTCTTCTCCACATCATCCTTCTTAGCCTCGGTTTCTGTCACCTCTGCTGGTGCAGCTGCTTCTTTAGCTGGAGAAGCTTCTTCTTTGGCAGGAGCAGCCTCTTCCTTGGCAGGAGCAGCTTCTTCCTCTGAGGCTTTGTCATTGCTTTTCTCTTCTCCAACACTCAGCTTCTCAAGAGCTTGAGCAGTCTCAGAAGCGTCTGTGTTCTCTTCCTGCTTCTTTTGTGATTCAGCAACCTCTTGGAACATCTCCATGAAGGATTTGTTATCTGATCATAAAACAGTAACATGATTAATAATTATGTACAAGGAAAATCCTAAATATACAAAGTCCGGACTACTTTAAAACAATCAGTATTTCATCTTATAACCAGCCAAAACAAGAAAAATTGCACAGAATACAATATAATTAATGATAATCAAATGCATAGTCTATGACAACTATAAAACAACCCAAATTTTTACCCAATAACATAATCATCACAAGAAATATAGAGAAATGGAAAGGAAAACAAATTTAGACTTGGCAAACTGTGATTGTTGCTCAAAATAAAATCAAATTACACAGTCCACAAATATGTATATATCCAAAAGCTCAAGCTAGAACAAGCAGCCAAGAAACAGTAATCACCAATATGAAATAAAACAAATGAAAACTTTCTGCTTAACTATGTTAGGGTTAGACAAAGTTGGCCCCTCAAAACATTACTATACAATGAAAAACACCACATCCAAGAGAAGGATGTATATGTCCAAAGTATGCTATAGAGGTCATAATTATTCTATATACAAGTACAAAATAGTAGGAAACCCAGAAAAGAAGCACTTTCACTTGTTCTCTATATACTGCTGATATCCTTCAAAAAAAAATATATACTGCTGATAAATATTGATCGATGAAGAACCATATACATGGGCTTAAGAAAATCTAAAAATGATGCAGCCTATCAACAACAAATCAGAACCAATGAGGCTAAAACATATGAAAGATAATAGAGATAAGATATGACGAATTCATACTATATCTGTTTCTAGATTAATCGCAATGTTTGATAATTTATGGACATCAATGCAAAAGGACCTTTGATATCTCTAATTACGTATTAATAAAAACTGTAAAAAGTTGATGATTTGAAGACACATTGAGACAAATCTAACAAATTTCAATTGATAACTTTTAATTATAAATCAGAGATTTAGTGCAATCAAAGGTAGTTAAGTTAAGTCCCTCACAAAGCAAAGGTTGCAACTAAAACAAAATAGATAAAGTATCACATAATAATGTTGCGAGCACAAATCAACTTTACAGCTAATATTTAAGCATGTTAAAGTGTAGCACTGTAGCCTATTCGTTGCCAACCAATGTAAATACATCATGATCAAGATATCTCTAAAAAAATTCCAACTGATAAACACTTTCCATCAGTTAGATATGTGATCCAACAGCAAAAAGGAATTTCACCAACAAGATAATAAAACAAGCATCAATTCTTCTGTTATGGAGTCCAATTAATTTGTATCTCACTAAGTTATTTCTAATTTGTAACTCACTAAGTTAAACCCAAAACACAAGTACTCACAATTTATGCTATTTTTTTTTATATAGGTTCATTAAATTACCCAAACAGGCAAACAATGATTATGTAATTTTAACATAAGAACTAGACAATAGAAAACTCAAAATCCTTGAGCTTGGTCAAATGAATAAAGCCCCTGATTCATCATTCTATATTCCTATACTTTAGGATATAAGTTCAAAGGTTTTTTTTTGAGAAATACAAGCTCAGAGTTCAGATTACCCTCATAATATCCAACTTGCAATAAATGCCATAAACATATACAAAGAAAAAAATTCAAGATACCCACAAAACAGCAAGAAAAAGCAGCTTCTCTCAATAGATGCAAGACATTAGACATGATAAGAGATATAACAACAAATAACAAATTCACTAATCAACTAATACCCGGAAATACTCCCAATCAAGAACACTCACAGTATCAATTAATACAGATGAAGAATCACAAGAATAATATTGGACCATTGGCACAGAGTAGTAAACAGGCATGTAAATACGGAGTAAAAAACAATTAAACCAAATTTACTCACTCTCAATCGATGCGAATCGGATACAGAACATCTCCTCCTTCAACTCTCCATCAGCATAATCACTAGCAACCCACACACAAGATTTCTCATTCCCGGCATGCTCCTGAACCGTCATACCCGCAATAACTACAAATAAAAATTGATCATTCATAGAAAAAACTCATAAATTCAAGCAACTTCACACAATAATTATACAAGAAAAACAAAAACCCAGAACAATTAACAAATGATAAAAATAAAGTAACATACTCAGATGATTAGCACAGATCTTAAGAGTCTTGGATTGCCGCATAACCAATCGAACTTTCCCAGAAACCTTATGCTTTAGAAACTTAACTGTACCAGTACCCCTCTCTTTCCATTGATTTCCTTCTTTATCAAATCTGTAAAGCTTCGCTTTTCTAATAACAATTCCAAAACACAAACAATTAGAAATAATAAAACACCAAAAAACCCTAGAAAGCCGAAAATATCCCTAAATTAGTGGCAAAATTCAAAGATTAGATCAATAAATGCACAGAAATTAAGAATTGAAAACAACAATTCAAGCGCACCCAATTAAAAACAACACAAAACCCTAAATCAGGGCAAAATAAACCTATGATTGTGGCAAAATTCAAACAATAAATCAATAAAAATGATAAAGAAGTGAGAAAAAGAGAGAGCAAATATTACAGATCGAGGAGGGCGTCTTCGTCTTCTTCACCAGTGGTGATGGCGACCTCTTCAAGCTTAACGATGGGGGCAATTTGGGCACCGGTGTCTTCTTCTTCGGCGGGAGCGTGCTCTTCGTCTCTATGCTCGGGATCTACTGACGCCATTGTTATACTGTGTTTGAGAGTGTTGTGGGAGGAGAGAGAAAGAGAGAGAGAACGGCAGAAGAGAATGAATAGTCGAGATGAGAAATGAAAGAGAGAAGAAGGGTTTTCTTTAGCTTCAACTTTATATAGATGCATAAAAGTTGGATTGCTAGTTAAGCTTAAAACAAGGGATTAGCATTCACCGCTTTGAATTGAGGTGTCAATTCGGGTGATTGTGTTAAGTTTAGTTGGGTCTAATCGAGTTAAGTTGGATTTGATTTAGATTTGAGTTATGCTAAACCTTAATTCTTAACGCCTATACCCTACGGAGTAAGTAGAACTACCTACATTACGGGTGTTAAAAAATATCCGATTCAAAATTCCGATGACCTGACCCAAAATTTTGGGTATCCAATCTGATTTTAAGGTTTCGAATATTTCGGATTGATATTCGAAAAAAACTTCGAGTTCTTAGTTAGGATACGGATCAGAATTTTTACGAAAATTTCAACTACTCGACTCGAAAATCCGGGGACCCAATCCGAAAACCCGATTATTCAATCCGAAAAATTCGGATCGAAGACGGATCGCAATTCCTCCGACCCGATATTCGAAATTGAATAGCACTAGTCCTACACCCCTTTCAAAACGATGTGTTTAACCTCATCCCACCACTAACTACAGTAAGTACCCATTTACACCATTAACCGCAATACTCCAAATTAACCGCCCCAATCACACATATAAATACATTTAAAAAAAAAGAAAAGAAAAACAAAAGTTGTCATTTCGAATATATTTCTCTCTCTTCAACCTTCCTCGATCTTCATCAATTTCTCTGCATTTTCTCTCTCATTAAAACCATCAATCTCAAAATTGTCACACTAAATTAGTAGAAAATTACTACAAATACTCCAAATGTCTTACATTAGCAAAAAAAAAAAAAAAATTCTTCAATTGCAACAACAATCTACAAAACTGTAAGTAGTTTGTTTATTTTGGAACAATTTTATGTATAAACCCTAGTTTTTTCTAGTTTTTTTTTTGTTCTTTTTTTTTCTTTTTTTTTGCAATTATATGTTCTGAAATGTAATCATGCTACTCTGATTATACTTATGGTTGCTAAAAAATAATTAAAATCTCTGCTATCATTTGTGATACTTCCTCCGTTTTTATTTCGATGCATCGATCACTTTTGACTCCTAAACAATTTTTGGAGTAGAGAGAGATAGAAATTAAAAATAAAGAGGGCCCATGTGAATATGTGATAGGAGAGAGATAAAGATAACTTATTAACTAAAAAAGAAAGTGATGCATGTTAAATTGAAACTTCTATTTATCGAAAGTGATGCATCTAATAAAAAACGGAGGAAGTATTTTTCTAGAATGAAGAAGGTATTACGGAGACAAAAAACAACGAGTCTGACAATACATAAGTGTTTACAAAATTATATATGTTCATTTGGATAGTGTGTTCATTAATACTCCCTCCGTTTTTAAACACTTGGGTCACTTTCTATTTCCGGCCATTTTTAAATACTATTTTTAAATACTTGCTCCATTTCCTTACTTGGAAAGCTTTTATAATATTTAATTCATTTCTCTCAACTAGTGGATCCAACATAAATTATATTTTATTAATTTCATGTTTTCTCTCCTCCAATTCTCTCAACTACTTTTGCTTTTTATATTCCATCTACCCCACTACTTCCATATTTCCTTACTTTCTCTAATTTCTCCTAAAACTACGCGCATGGAGAAATGGAGCAAGTATTTAAAAACGGAGGGAGTATGTATTTTTTTTTTTTTTTGACAAGAAGCCCTTAAAAAGAAAACACACAACAACAAAAAAAAGACTAAAGAGACCAAAAGAGCAAACGCCGCCGACGAGCCTCAACCGCTAGCCAGTGAGCCGGAGCAACCCATTGACGAGGAACCTTATGAAGCTCACAAACTAAAAACGGCAAAAGAATTGTCCGAATGTCTTGAATCAGCCACAAACATGAAATATACCTGTCACGCTCATCTTGAAGTAGAGAAAGTAAAGTCGAACAATCAGTGTAGATAAGAAATCGCTGAATGCCTCAACGATCAGTAGCTCGTAATGCTCATAAACAAGCTTGTAATTCTGACTGGAGAGCAGAAGAGGAGTGACAAGCCTTTGAGCAACATCCTAACACAGAATATGAAAAAACCTCTCTAAAAATCCAACCTTCCCCTGCACTACAGTCCTGAGCAGATCAAGCTCCATCAAAGAGAATGCAAACATCAAAGGAAGACGAAGGGAAACCCTTTAAGCAACAAGACCTGGAGGCTATGCGATTTCCACGAGAAGGACCCATAGAAAACATGGCCTGCTTGAATTTTTTTTTTATTACGCGAAAGCCAGACAGCCCACAGAAGGAAACAAAAGAAACCAAGCCAGCCCAATTTCTAGAAGACCTATACTTAGAAAATCGTATCGACTAACCAATCAACAAAAGGTTTGTTATGTAGAAGGGAAGGAAAAAAAGTTGTCGGAGTAGAAGCCCAAAGATGAGAAGTGACTGGACAATCCCGAAATAAATGGTCCGACGTTTCCCGATCTTAATGGAAAAAGACACAGGTTGGATCCACCAGAATTCCCCTAAGCTGCAAAGTCCCAGAAAGAGGTAAAGCATTATTGATTAATTTCCAACAAAAACACTGCAACTTTGGCAGAGGAGGCAAACCCCAGAAGTGCTTCCATTAAGAAGCAGGGACTACACCTATGACACTGGAAATGTCCGATTGGCTAAGAAACATTGCGTAAGCCGATTTGGTGGAAAAAGATTCATCTCTAGAAAATTTCTAGTAGACAAAATCGTCCATCGGCCGATGAGGCCGCTCCAAAGCCAAAATACGGAGCGCCGTAGAAATGTAAAAAAAAAGCAGATGAATAGAAGTCGAGTCCCACGCGTAAGAACGCGGATTAATGATAGAAGAAACATGTGTCGGATAATCCGACACACCAGAATCATTGCGAAAAACAACAGGCTCCTCAGGAACCCACTGGTCCTCAAGAATCCGAACATGAGAGTCGGAACCAACCTTTTAAGCAATACCCCCGCTAGAGCAGACAGACTCGTCAGAAGACTGCGGCAACCCCAAGAGGAACGAGGAATCATTCGAGTTTGAAAAGAGCAAAGGGAAGGGTACTTAGTAGTATGAAGCTTTTAGACTAAAAGGTGAGGATGATGGTGAATGCACCAGCACTAACGAGTAAGAAGGGCAGAGTTGAAGCTGTTCAGCCGCCGAGGCAAATGTAATGAGAGACTCCCTTTCGGCTTTTCAAAGCATGGCTGAGAGGGCCTCTATACAAAGAACAAATAAATAAGAACAGAGAGGATCTCCCTGGCAGAGACCACACTGAGGTTGAAAAGCCGATGAAGGATTTCCGTTGACCAGCACCTGATAAGAGACTGTCAAAACACACTGACGAATGATGTGTATCCAATATGGTGGAAACCCGTAAACCTGTAATATCCGAAACAAAAAATCCTAAAGAACCCTATCATATGCCTTGTTCATGTCTAATTTGATGGCTGCATAAAATCTCTTTTTCGCCTTGGAGTTATTCATAAAAGAAATAACTTCATGGGCAATTAGTACGTTATCCGATAAAAGACAACCTGGAACAAACGCATTCTGAATATCAGCCACCAAACTCGGCAAAACTAAGCGAAGCTAACCAGTGAGCGAGATAATTTGCATTACATTTATAAATCACGTTGCAAAGATCGATTGCCCGAAATTGAGAAATTAGTTCGGGATTATCCACTTTTGGAAGTAAGGCAAGAAAAGTATGATTCCATTCTTTTAACATGTAACCATGAGCAAAGAAATGCTGAACAACCAAAACCACCGACGGGCCAATAGTAGACTAGTGAGTCTTGAAAAAAGCAGAAGAAAATCCATTAGGACCACGAGATTTATTGTCATTAATGACAAAAATTGTTGTCTGAATATCTGAATCACTAAAAGGAGCCATGAGCGACTATTGATGTTCCAAAGAGAGAGATGACAATTGTAGGTTGTCCCACCATTCAGAGCTTTGTGAGGAAAAGTAGGCTGAGACCGAATAGAGATCCTTATAAAAATCCAAAGATAAAGACGCAATACGGTCAAAGTCACAATGCCAAACACCATTTGAATCTCGCAGACCATATATTTTATTCTTCCGCGATCATGCCTGAACTAAGGAAAAAAGGAGGTGAGAGTCGAAATCACCCAAAGAATCCCATTTAACCATTTCACATTGTCGCCAGAAAAGAAAGGCAGCTTGTGCTTATGCAACTTTCTCATCCTTAGTAGTGATAAAAAAAACAACGATCCATGCGAGAAGACAAAGAAAGAGAAGCTTGATGGACTTCAAAAACCAAGGATTTCCAATTTATCCCCTAAGCCTTCTTATGAGAAATACACCAGGTAAGCAGTCGTGCTCTAGTCACTACCAGCTTTCGAGACAAAGAAAACATTGGCGAACCCGGGAAAAATAAGGAGAAAGCAGAGTGTATTAGATCTCGAATCTCTGAAGCAGACTAACACCAGTTCTCAACCCTATAAGGCCGTTTCACGGGTCTTGAATTCAATATATCCGAAAGGATAATATCAGCAAGGTCTAAAAACAATATTGGTTCATGTAGAACTTTGGTGTTAGGGTAGTTGATAAACCAAGAAGAGGAGGCGTAAGCTCTGTCCAGCTTTCAAAAATAGGATCAAGATCAGTCCTATTATTCGTCCAAGTGTATTTAGGACCAGAAAACGGAATATCCACTAAATCAAACCCTGTACGCCACCTAATAAAATCCATCTGTCCCGGGATTGAAAAATTACTTCCTATCTGAGAGGTATTTGACTTGATTAAAATCACAATAAGTATTACGTTTGGAATATCCTTAAGAAAATTGCTTATCAAGTTCCATGCCTCGGCACGATAAAGAAATATAAGGCGAACCATACACAAACATTACATGTTTTATTTCATCTCCTTACACCAATTTACAGAGAAAAACATTATGAGACCTATATACAGGAACTAACCCCAACAGAGAAAACCAACATATAAACATACCACCACTAAGACCTACATCATCTATGCCACTTGT